ATATATGTTGTTGTTAAGTGCCGTCAAGTCAGTTCCTACTCATAGCGATCCGGTATAGGGTTAACAACGAGTGGCTAAAGGGTTTGACCACTGACCTTGCAGTTCAAACCAACCTTGCAGTCCAGTGCATTATCCTGTAGTGCCACACCAGGACTCCATATATGTGTATATATACAGAGAAAAACTTCTGTATCTTTAACATAGATACCCATCTCACTCTCTCTTTCCTTTCAGCAGTGTCTCAGGAATGTCAAGAATACATGAACTTTAAAGAACATAAAAAAAGAAGGTACGTTCATTAGGGGACAGTTAAAAAACAAAAACGAAACCCACCGCCTTTGAGTCAATTCTGACTCCCACCGATCCTATATCAGGTTTTCAAGACTGTACATCTTTATGGGATGTACAAAGCCTCACCTAGCTCCCATGAAGCAGCTGATGAGTTAGAACTGCCAACCTTGAAGTCAGCAGCCCAACGCCTAGCCCACAGTCACTGGGATGTGGAAATATTGTGAAAATAAAACATGAAAGATAAGGAGACTTTTAATGGAAATGAGAAAATATTTGTCTACTGAGTTGCATAATTTGGTTCCTGCTAAAATATCTTGGGCTCTAATCTCTGCAGTGCCATATAACATCAAAATAGGCACTTAGGGAGACATAAGAACTCTTTCAGATCTCTACATTACCATTTGATTGCTCTATACAAATTATGTAAAGGTTACCTCCTGGTTTGAGTTTATTGTGTTAATCAGACCACTTGAAGAAACAAGGAGGACAACAGTGGACATAAATTTTCAGTGTGACCAGTACTGTGAACACAGACCCTGAGATTTGAGTTTATTACACCAATCTGACCATTTTGGAAAAACAATGATAACAACGGGCATAAATTTTCAGTGTGAACACAACCAACAATATGAACACAAACAAGCCAGATGGCAAAAAACAGTAACTCATTAAACAGCATCTCACTCATACAAATAAAGAGCTGTCAGTACCCTTTCTCATAGCAATCGATATGTTGAGAGCAATAAATCTTTCAAGATGTTGGCAGTTCTATAGTGAAGCCAGACTAGCTAATTGTAAAGAGGTCTTCAAACTTTCCCTGAAAGACTTTTGTGCACTATAGAAACTTAACAGTATGGTCTATTGCTGTTTGATTTATCAGAAAGCTTCATTACTTGCTATTTCCTGACTATGACCTTATCCCTTCTCACTCACTGACCCCAATTTACTTCATAAAAGTCAAGCAAACTCTGCCCTTCTTCTGTACAATCCATCACTTGCCCTTTTTCGTTGATTCTGTGAAAACCCTAGTCCAGTGTTTAAGTCCTTCTAGAGAGTAAGATGGGTAGATATGTCAACGACACAGAGATTTTTTTTCTTTTATTTTGGTCTAAAATTATATATATGTAAGTATGTATGTTATTGTTGTTCAGTACCATTGAAATGGTTCAAACCCATAACTACCCTGTATAAGGTTTCTGAGGAGTGGCTGGTAGGCTTGAACCACTGACCTTGTGGTTCAAACCAACCTTGCACTCCAGAACATTAACCAGGATTCCTATGTATATACATGTATATATATACATGTATATATATTAACTGATTTGACTGCAGTTAACATATATTGGGAAGGATTTGGAAAAGAAGGGTGGAGGGTATTTCAAAAGAGGGAACATGGGGTTAAGCTAGTTGTGTGCTGGAGCCTGTGGTGGTGGTGGTAGTGTGTTGTAGAGTTGGTTCCGACTCACAGCGACCCGGTATCGGGTTTCTGAGGCTGTAAATCTTTATGGGAGCAGAGAGCCTCATCTTTCTCCTGTGGAACAGCTGGTAGTTTTGAACTGCTGATCTTGAGGTTAGCAGCCTGACTCGTAACCACGATGCTACCAGAGCTCCTTTGCTGGAGCCTACTCATACCCAATTGCAAGAGCCAACTGTTCACATGTTGTCACAACTCCACATTCATTGATGTCTGGGTAGTGGTTTGAAGTCAGCCATAGTGGGGTGTTTACACTATGGAAACTGCAAATCCTACAAATCAAGTTGTTGTTGGTGGTAGTTTTGAGAGCCAGTTGTGAACCATTTACCAACACAGAGCTGATTAGGTCATGGAATACGAAACATTTTAAGCTTGAGGATGTTGAATATTCTGTTTTAAACTACTGGTCTTCATACAAATTAAATTTCCCAATTTTCAGTAAAGTCAAGTATAGAAATAAATCTCTAAGATAAATACGCTGTATGTACTTATGCCTAACTGATGAGTGTGTGTGAGTTTGTGTGTGTGTGAGAAACATGGGCTAGAGCTGAATCCCATGATACAGCTGATGAGCTGCAAAACAGGAAGCAAACTTGCTGGATGTTGAAATGATCCTTGAACAGAACAAATTCAAGGAAAGTGGAAGCCTGCAACCATCAGTGACTAGGAAAGTGGGCAGACAGAATGGTGGGTACTGGGGTCCCCTCCTACATAAGGTCCAGGACAATTGTATATGAATCTTCAAGGCAGAGAACCACAGCCAACTTCTGGGTTAAATAATTAATTGTTATCTAATAGAGCCATAGGATAAGCAATGGACAGCAAGGTCAGCAGTTCAAACTCACCAGCTAACCCTCAGAAACCCTATACAAGGTCACTATGAGTTGGGACTGACTCAATAATACTGGCCATTACGAGTCATGGTGTGATGATGTAGGGTAAGCACTGGACTGCAAACTATGGGGTCAGTGGTTGGAACCTACCAACTGCTCCTCGGAAACCCTATTCAGGGTTACTATGAGTTGGAACTGACATGACAACACTTAACAACAGCAACAACAATGGCATTTAAGGAACCCTGGTAGCATAGTGAGCTATGCACTGAGCTGTGAAACACAAGGTCCACAATTCAAATCCACCAGCCACTCTGGGTGAGAAAGATGAGGCTTTCTGCTGCCATCCCGTTGACAGCCTAGGAAACCATATACAGGATCACTATGGGTCAGAACCAACTCGACGGCACACCACCATCACACACCACCAGTGACCATTTGATGTTAATTCAATCCCTTGGCAAAGGACAATATTTATATGCCAAGATATACATAAAGTCCCTTAGCAATCATTTCACAGAACCTTTAGGAAAGTGACTCATTGGTCCCCACCAGTTTCTCAGAAGAGTTGATTTAGCCTGACTGGTGTTAATGTGAAAATGTTCCTGGTGTTATTGTGGCCTAAGCATAAAACCTTTGTAACGAGTTCTTTCTCATATTTTATTATAATGACTTAGGCATTTTTATACATACCATTTTAGCATTTAGAGTATTATTTTTGTTATTTTAAAAATCCAGTTAGTGCATGACAATATCCTTAAAAGTTTAAGAATATAAAATATCTTAAAAGTGTTTAATATACCTTGAGGAGTCTTGCTTCTAAGCTTCTGACTATGTCTTGGCAAATTCCAGAAACAAAGTATTGGTATAATGCAAGGAGAGGCAGAATCTACCAGGAAAAAAAAAAATGTTTTATATTTTGTCAAGTTAATTACTTAATAATCAAATCTAGTCAAATGTAAAACATGTAAATGTATAAATGTCTCATCTTTCTCCCACGGAGCAGCTGGTAGTTTCGAACTGCTGACCTTCCAGTTTGCAGCCCAATTCGTAACCACTACGCTACTATATATAGCGACCCTGAATAGGGTTTCCGAGGCTGTAAATCTTTTCTCCCACGGAGCAGCTGGTAGTTTCGAACTGCTGACCTTCCAGTTTGCAGCCCAATTCGTAACCACTACGCTACCATATATATATATATATATGATTGATTTTTTTCATGTTAAAATACTATAGGTGCTATTTGTTATAAGTAAAACTATCTGTTTAGCATATGCTTCATAGTTTTATCAGAATTTTAAGATGCTACAAGGGACCTACAGTTACAAGTAGGTATAGTTGGTACACAACTCCCTAGTTTTTGCATTTCTTTAAGCATAAAAAAGTGAAAACCCAGTTTGTTATCTTCCTTGGAAAAAAATCCAACATATATGTATGAATCACGTAGTGTCAAAAAAACTATAGCAAATTAGTTATCAAATGAATGCTAAATTTAAAACAAAGGAACTCATATTTGGGTCCCTTGACTATGCAGGATTTCTCAATCAGCAACAACCCACCCAGAAGCACCTAAGAAACTAAGACTAGCAATCTTTCTTCCAAAAGATGACAGTCAATAAAAACCCTATTGAACAAAAGCCTCATGGATATAGGTAAGGATTTGTAACTATTTGTATTTCAATTGACCTAACCATTGTCCCCCCAAAAGGTGCTGAGTAGACAGTTTTGCTAAAACATCTACACATAGAACCTCCCAAAATTCAAACCTGGAGATCAGCTCCTGTTATTGTATCATGTCCTACCAAATGAAGCAAGATGGAGCAAGTAGGGGCACTGGGAGTCTCATTATTTAGAAGATATTCCTATGATTCCACAGCTCTGGGCCCCATAACGAATTTTACATGTGTCAGTCTTCTTCTTGGTCCCTGGGCTTCTTCGAGAGAAGGTTAATATAACACAAACCGTAATCTTTTTATATCTTGAAAGTTCAGCTAGGGAATCTCTAATTATCAGTCAACTGGCAGCTGTTAATAGCAACAGCTGTTTAAAATGACCAAAACTGGTCTTATATGATTTCAAACATAATACAATATTCTTTTCTACAATTATGGACTACAAACATAATATAGTACCCTTCTACAATTACTGCAGTAGAAAACAATAGGAGTTAGCAATTACCTTTGAGATTTAGTTTTTCTTTAGTGAGGAATAAAAACATACTATTTTTATTGTTGCCAATTACTCAATTATTCAGAAAATCTTTTTCAATTTCTTATGCTTTGGAGGACAAAAACCTCTCATTTCCTTCCCAAAACAGTGATATGTATTATATATGAATATGACAAGGCAGTTAAAGGTTACCGAGGGGATAGAACCACTTTCTAAATCCAGACATTAATCCCCTTTGTTAACAACAAGACAAGCGCCATTTTGCTTTTTTTTTTTTTTCTAATAACAATTTCTTGCCAAATTTGCCAAGTGTTAAAAACATTTTTCAGCCTCTTTACTTTGACACATATTTTTTATAATTCAACAACTTTATATTAAGAGGCAGTAAATATTTTCAATATAAAGGGAGAGTTTTAATACAGAAGAACAAATATATCAAGAGAATAGAAAAATATGTGAAAAAAAGAAAATAGGTGCTAAAGATGACACCAACCAACCTGTCCACAACACCATCTACTTCTCAGCATTGACAATTCATTGTAATGGCCACACAGAACTCAGACACCATACTTAGAGTAATGGGGTTTATTAAGGACATTAACAGATTACAATTCAGATTAGGGCACAGTTTTTACTAAACAGGAAAGCCTCTTCCCAATCATGCCTCCAAGTAGTACTCATTCTGGTCCTGACCTCTCAGCCAAGAGCCCCTTGATTTCTGCCATGCTCCAGCAACATCATAAAGTTCTTTTAGAGCTGAGGATAAATGCCCAAAGGCACTCCTCTCTGATATAAACCTCAGCCCAAAGGCACTAAACTCTGAGGTTCAGCAAACCTAGCTCCCCAGTTAAGTGCTTGGAGGCACCCCATTCCAGAAGTGAGACTTCAGCCTAAAGGCACTCGCTTTGCTGGCTCTGTGGGCTGGGAAGCTCACCATTCTGTCTGGTGCTCTGGCTCTTGATCCTGTTGAAGCCATTCCTCTAAAGTCATAGCTCTGTCTTCTGGGTTAAGGAGGTTCAATACCCAAGGATCTCAGGGTCTAAAGGACACACTCCCCTCTTGGCTCTTCTTCCTTGATGGTAATGATGTGCCCCTCCTACTTCTGAGATGGATTATGTGATACACACGTAAGAGTTTTGAGTTTTTACAATCACAATTAAACCTGTAAACAATCACAACTGAATCATATAATCCATCATCATCTTCCCTCACCTTCTCTTACCAAGAACCAACAGGAAAAATTCAAATGGTAGGAATTTGCAAAGACTATGGCTCGAAGACACATTAAGTAATTCACTTTATTTACTTACTTCACCATTTTGTTTTGTTTCTTTTTTAGGTGCCTTCGAATTGGATCTGATTCGTGGTGATTCTATGCACAACAGAACAAAATAATGCCTGGTCCTGCTTTATCCTCACAATTACTGTTGTTAGCTCTGAACCCAATGCTTTTGCCATTGTGTCGATTCATCTCGTTGGGGGTCTTTTCTACATTTTACCAAGCATGATGTTCTTCTCCAGGGGCTGGTCCCTCCTGATAACATGCCTAAAGTATGAAACACAAAGTCTCAGCATTCTCACCTCTAAGGAACATTCTGACTGCACTCCTTTCATGACAGATTTGTTTGCTCTTCAGGCAGTTCATGGTACTTTTAATATTTTCTCTAATGTTTTGTCAGGTGCCATCGAGTCAGAACCGACTCATAGCAACCCCATGCACAGCAGAACGAAACAATGTCCGATCCTGGGCCAACCTCACTACCTCTGCCACTCTTGA